GAAGAAAATATCGAGCGCCGGAGGAAGATGAGGACGAATTATACTTACTAATTAAAACGAAGAGTTCCCTCCTAATTTAAGCTAGGATGGAGGTTATTAGGCTCTGCGCCTTCCTCTTTCGGAGGAAAGTACCGGATACTTAGATACCTATTTATACTTACGGGTTCGAGAAGGAGACCTTTACCTATATTATTTTAAATTACTTTAATGTAGAAACTTTCTTTTAGTTGGACTTCGATAATTAGCCGCTAATAAAGGAGGAATTTTAAAAGTACTTAAATAACGGAATTAAAGCCGAAAAAATCCTATTATAAGCGTTGAGGTTAGGTAAATTAAGGGAGTACTATCTAGTAATCAAATTAGAGGAGGAATAGTATAAGGAAATTGTAAAGTACTTTTAAGAAGGGAGCAAATTATTAACAATACTAAAATAATAGGATAAGGGATAAAGAGGAGACGATTGTACTAACTACAAGTACTATTTAAATTATAATTATAGTAAGAACCGAAGTATTATTTAACAAGCGCCTAGTTATGCCTAAAAAACTCTTCGAATAGTACTATTATATAAGTCTAGTTTATAGTAACTTTATAACGCTATTAAACCTAATTTTTATTTATAATAGGGCAATTAGAGGTATCGAGGGCTATAGGATTATTAGGGGTAGTACTACTACTATTAAAACTAGAGACTATACGAATAAAAGTAATAGTATTATTACTATTAGATATAATACGTATAGGAATAATTATACTATTATTTAAATTAAAAATAATTTAGACCGGGTTTATAGTACTACTATTAAGAAAGGAAGGGGTACGGCTATAGCAAGCGTCCCTTATAATTAATTTATAGTAGCCCTTCCGCTAAAAATCAGCAGCATTATAATATAGGGCGCAGGGAAGATTATTAAGATAATTAAATAGACCGTCTTATATTAAACATTTATATATATATTCAAAAATACAGTTTCCTTAGCCGGAGCCTAAATGTGGCCAAGGAAGACAGAGAAACGCCTATATAAGTAGACATTTAGGAAGCAAAATACTAGATCCACATCTAGCTCGAATATACCCAATCAATCGCCGCTAATTTTCTTTAGTACTAGCGCTAAAATAGGAAGTATGGGAAGGCTCTTAGCAATTCGAAATTCGTATTCAAAGGCACAACACCAACCAAAACATCACCAAATCTAACCCCTTCCGCGAATCTTTCTATTATCTTACCTATAAACCCAACTAGACTCAGCAAACACTCTCAGAACGCTCCAATCAGTCCATATAGTCTAATTCCAACTACCCTACTATCACTAACCCCCCCCGGGGTACTATAGGGACGCCCGTAGTATAGCGGTATAAAGGACGCTCTTACTACTACTAATATAAATATATAAAGAACTCTTACATTCAACTCCTTACTAATAACTCGTTTTTCTCTTTAAACGCTCAATTATTATACTACTAACATCTCTTAAATCCTTCTTATCTTCCAATTTGTCCGTTGTAAGTATCCGTTGTCCGGAGGAATAGGAGATATAAGACCGCCGTAAAACGTACTATCTCTCAATACCATTAACAGTTACTCTGAAAAAGGGTATACCATAAAACATTCGACTAGGGTACACAGAATAAATCGAACTAAACTCCTTTCTTTTTTTTTTTTTTTTCTCTAAACCGGTAGTAACATTTAGCAACTTAAATTACAAATTAGAATAATCTAAATTATAATTAATAATAAGAATAACATATTACTTTAGCCGAATAAAGAGAGAAAGGCTAGCGGATTATACAATTATAGTCTTCTTTTTATAAAGAAGTTCATCTTTAACTAGTAATACTATCTTAGTACTAACCTAACCTCCAATAATAGTACATTAACGCTTAAGAGTAAGCAAATTACGACGTTCTTCTTCTTCTTTCAATATATTATAGAAGCGCTACTCGAACTCTAAATTATCATCCTCAAAAATAATTAATATAATTAATAATTAATAATTAATAAAAATAATAAAAAAGAGAGAGAAAGAGATTGAGAATTACAAAGACTCGTTTATTATTACATCTATCTACAATAGGGACAATTACTCATCTATATTACTCTTACTAATCTATCTTCCTCTTAACTACGGTAATCTATTATTAGTACCAATACTCTTACAAAGTCTTCTACGGGGCCTTCCTCTTAAATTAACTCTACTAGAAGGAATTACACTACCAACTCTACTAGAAGGAGCTATACTTCTAACTCTTAAGCCAATTCTTAATCTAATTCTATTACCGGACGGTCTACTACAAAGTCTTAATTTAAATTTACCGCAAGGTCTACTACAGGGTTTACCGTATACTCTACGGAGCGGCCGGCCATTATTAATATCATTATTATCAATATCCCCCGGCCCGGGAAGGAGCTAGAGCCTACAATTTGTAATTAAAGAACTACCCGGGTCACGAATATAGTATAGCGGCAATAAATAGCCGGAATACAATTATTAAAGTATACGTCTAACTATATCTATAGCTCTATACGTATAAGTCTTAATATTTCTCACACATAAAGTATCAATTTCGAAGCTCTCGTCAAACATAATACCTTCAATCGTATAAGTACAGGATATAACTATATATAATAGCCCAACTACAAAGTCCTTCTTCGAAATATTGTAGATAACCTTATTTAATATTTAACCCTACGCTTTATATATAGTAATAGCATATACAATAGTTAAAGGGAATTAGGTTCTCCTATAAATACAAGCTTCTTTTAAGAATTCTTAAGTAGACCGGAATATAGGTATAGTATATTCTAAGTCTTTAATATTAGGGTAATCTAGGTCCTCGAAGCAATTGGATCCTCAGTAGCAATCGAAATACACCATAATAATAAAAGGGGAATCGCCGGCTTTAGGGTATATATTATACATCTAATCACCATCCCACACAATATTAATAACCGTACTAATCGAACTATTAACAAAACCGGCTTCAATCTATATATTCTCGGTAAGTATAATTCTACTACCCTTAACATAAATAAACTTACTATATAAATTACTAGCATCGGTATATTTAACGTCTTTAATACTATTAGGTTTATTAGTAGCTTTAATAATAAAAACTAGGCTTTTAAACTATTCCAAATACCTAAGGTTATATTTATTAATTATAATATTCATTAAGTAAATTCGTAGAGTAATGTCGAATTCGGCTTAATTAGGTACGAATAATTTAAATTTAATACAGTTAGCTAATACCCACCAATCCTAAATAGTAAAATTATTATTTCGTAGTCCTTCTAAAGCTTTACGAAAGTCTTCCTACTCAATACTTTATTAATGGAGAATTTATTTCAATTCGATACTCCAATCGAAATTAAAATAATAAACTCGATTACTATACTAAACCAAATCCAATTTACCTTCTAAACGCTTCCTTTTTTATTCTTCAGTCTCATTAGGAAGCCGGTCTAAATCGTCATCTTCCCTAAGCACTTTAAGAGGAGTATTGGAATCGTTGGCGAATTTAAAGGGTTCTTAGTAGAAAAGGGCCTTTTGCCTAATAGGTACTAATTAAAAGAAATCCCTAAGAAGAAGGATATTAATACTACCAAACTGCTTACTTTAATTTTTAACGAAGGCCTAACGAAGGTGGGCGTTAATATAATATATAGTTCTTATACCTAATATAGACTTTTTATCGATAATAAAATACTTATAAAGTTTTAATTTATTTTAAATATTAGTTAAATTAATACCTTATAGACTAACTACCCTCCAATACCGAAAGGAAACTGTAAAAGAAAATAGAGGGTATAGTCGTCAATATTATTAGCAATAATACTAATAGGCGCAATACGAACAATAGGGGTTAGAAGGTTATATATAAAGGCTATTTCAATAAACTTATAAAATAATAGTCGGATAAAATAGGATTTTCTAGTACTACCCCGGCCGTCAACTTAAAAAAGCAACTAATTTAGAGCTTAACTATCGAATACTACTTAGTAGTAATTAATAAACTAATTGAATACTATATATTATTCAATATTAAAAGTATTGTAAATTTGTTGAGTAATAAGCTTTAGGTCAGAAAGGTTAAAGGTATTATAAGGAGATTTCTAATAATTTACAACTAAGGGAAGGAATTCCTAGAACCTAATATAATTATTATACTAATTATAGTCGAAATCGATATTACAGCGGCTAAGAACTTCACTATTAAAATCGTTATTATTAGGATTAATATAACGGTTAGGGTTATCTCTATAATCAAACTATTAATTAATTAGGAATTAAAGAAATAAGTAAGGAATATAATACTTACCTTACAATTCCTTCCTAACTAAGCTCATCCGGTTCCTCTTCTTAACTAAATAGCTCAAACTCTTCTTCTAGCTCAGCATTAGGGAGCTTACCGTAATAATCATTAGGGTAATCTAGTTCATTAATATATTATTTACAACAAGCTAAATAAGTATCCCCTAATAACTTATAGTAAATACTATTAACAATATAAATATTAGCCGGATACTAATAAGGATAATACAATATAAGTTTAACCCGGATGAAATTTTGCTAATTATTTTCATACTTATAGATAGGGAAGTAGTTAATTACCCTCTATCTCGCACGATCTATCAAAAGCCTAGAATGTAAGCTAATACAATCGAACTAAGTAACAAACTTAAAGAAGGATTTTTAGATATAGTATTCTTTTCAATTTATATACTTCTAATAGATTAACTGGGTTTACCGAACTTCGTTGGCCGTATTCATATAAATACTACCTTTACCCTCATTATTATTACTACTAACTACGGCTACTACTACTCTTCCTCCCTCGGGATTATAAATAATAATACCTCGGTTATTTCGAAGGTAGCAATCTACTATAACTACTATACAGCTATTATTATAAAGAGGAAGGTTAAAAAGAAGGTAGTAGACTTCTTAAATTAATTAATCCCTTTTAGTAATAAGCTTATTTATAAATTTTGTAATAAATTACTTAATTAAATTCCTAGCCGTAATTTGAAGAATAATCTCCGTAGCAATCTCGTTGTAAGACTTCGTCCTTTTTTCGGCTTTCGAAACGTATTTAGCTACGTAATTAAATATAGTATTTATACTAGTATATAGTTGAATATTTATATTAGCCATCCACCTAAATATAATAAAAGGATTGTACTAATTGAAAATACTATTATTTTGTCAGCTATCGAATAGCTAAAACCTAGGGTTAATACGGGTAGTAAGTAGAGAGTATTTATAAAGCTTCCTAGTAAAATAAAAGCAGTAAACCTTCTATTTGGGGATAGGGAGTTTGAAATCCGGAATTTGCTAGTCTCTAGGAAGGGCTCGGACTTACCAGCGTACTTAGAGGTAATAAGTATTATTATAAATATATCTTTACATACAATTAATTATAGCTATAAATTCTTTGAAAGTAGGCTGAATAGTATCTATCCTTCTATTTAAAATATTATTACGTTTATTGTAGTATTTTAGAACACGACTAATGGGGACTAGCTAATTTTAGGCCTTATATTAATTGCTAATAGTAGTAACAACGCTAGGAGGAGGGCCTTCTAAATCTTTACCCTTACTAAATTAAACCTCAATTAACTATTCAATACCTTCAAATATAAGATTCTATACAGTAATATATAAACCCTATATTTTAATAATTTCTTGTCGAATTTCTAAATTTCTCAAATCTAGGGTATTAATATTATTAACCTAATATACTCTATCAATATAGCTAGTACTTCGTACTTAGAATTCTAGCTGCTATTAGAAGTTATCGAATTTGAACTTGGGCATTAATATATACTCTTTAAATAATTCAAAACGCCGAATAAAATAATATATAGCAATATAAGGGTTATTAAAAATATTAGTCTTAAATATATAATAACGATTATTATTGTTAGAAATCAACTATTACTTATAGTTGGGTATATACTTTACTAGACTTTCCTAATATAAATCGGTAATATTAAAAATCAGAAACATTACTAACATACCCAAAAAATTAATATAGGAAGCTAACTTATATAACCGTTAAATCTAGTAAGACCGTATACCTCGAATTATATTAGTAAATTATATAATTAAATTAAGAAGACTCTATACTTCTTTTAATTAAACTTCGAAATATTCTTCAAATTACTGTTAATTAACGAAAGCTTTAAAATTAAATTTAGTATTACGGATATAAAAAGCGCTTTTACTATATATTTAACTACACATTAAGGAATTAAAGGCAACGTATCGAAATCTCTTATATCGGGCAAATCTACCATTATACCACCGTATTGTATAATAGATATATATATTATATTTAACCTTCCTTATACGAAGGTTGAAATATTCAACTTAACTACGGGGGTAAAGACTAGGAAATACCTAAAATAGCAATACCTAATTACACCGGAATTCGTTAATCGGTTAATTATACAAAGGGCCTTATTAAATATAATAGTATTTAAGCGGGGGAGCCGGAGCCGGGGCCGGAGCTAGGTCGGTAGCTAAGGGTTCCGGAGCCGGAAGCGGAGCAAGACCTAAATATCCTTCCTACTAACTTATAAGTTCTTCTTATTAACCTATAGGTTCCTTCTACTAACTTACAAATTATCCTTTAGGCCTTACAAGTTGTAGTACTTAACCTAGAGGTTATTATTAATTATCCAGTGCATTTACAAATTCAATTGGTAGAAAGTTGGAGTCTAGTATTTAATCCCTACAAAACTATACCCTAAATTAATCAATATCCCTAAGAGTACTACCTAGTATATTAAGAGCTATACTAACCTCCATTTCATCGGCTTCTCGTAAGATCTCCTCGAATCTCTCTTCTTATAATATATCGAAATCTTCAATAACAATATCGTTTATTAGAATATTAGCCACATCATCTATTATATCCCCGTCTTCTAATAAAGTATTGAGCCGCTTTTATATAATTTCAATATTTAAATACCTAGGGTAATTATCTTTTAAAAACCGAAGCTATATATTAATCTTATAGTGGTTAACTTTAAATTCCTTATATATACAGTTAAAGTTAGGGTAGTTCTAAGTATTTCGTAACTATAATAAAACGATATCGACTTCTTCGGGTAATCTAAGTAATTAGTAACAAACGTAAGAAATATTACGAAGGAAGTTAATACAATAACCCCTATATTTTCATTACTAACGGCCGAAAGTATAAATATTAATATAAACGTAGACTTATACAATTAGTATTTCCTCTACTAAATTAAGAGGTAGTAGCTAATATTTGTCGGTATTAAGATTAAAAGTACTAAAGTCTATATTATTGGCCGTAGTATATTTAAAAGGTTCGCCCGGTCGGAGGTTCGTATTAATACGCTAATACTACTTATAAATATCCTAATCGCCAACTCTAATAAACTTTAAATTGAACCACTTCTCTTTATAACAATAATATTCTTTTATAACCTCGGTAGTTAATATAACTTAATAATTAAAAATATATTAATAATTAATATCAATAATAGCCCGGGCATTTATATCGCTGTTAAACACAGGGTCGCACTTAAATTCAATACCGGGGAGGCCGGGAAATTAAACGCCGGGAGGCTGAGGTAATTATAGTAGTCTAGGACCGCGTAGCCGACCTCGTCTCTATTATAAAGCGCCGAATTAGTATTAGGATTAGGATTAGGACTAGGATTAAATTTACAGAAGACTATAGTCTTATACAAAGTTATCAATATTAAATATAACGCTTAAATTATTAAGAGGATTATATATTTGCAAACGGGGTTTAATTTAAAATAAATTATTATTATCGTCGTCAAAATAATAGAAATTATTAGAATTATTATAGTCTACTTCGTCTCTATACAATAGTTCCCAATACTATTTACAATAATTACATTCAATACCGTATTTATTAAAGAAATCTATCCGTTGAAAATCTTAATAACAATTAAAATAAACTTTATTTTCTTCTCAAATATTATAATTAAGATTAGTATAAATATATACTATACAAAATCCAGTAATAGGATCCTTATTAATAGGGCGCCGTACTAATCCATATACCGGGTAGAAGAAGTAGGGTATCTCTTCGTTAGGTTAAATATTAACATTGTTATTGTCAGTAAATTACATTAAGAGATTAGGACTAACTAGGCACTAATCCCTAACTCTTTCTAAGTATAATAAATAGTAGTCCCATTCTAGGAAATTATAAGTTATATAATTTAGACGGTTAGCTACACTATTATAGATAGAATAGACTTTACGTTAGGAATTGAGGTTATATTACATAAATAATTAACAAAGTATACAATTGCTGGTAACAGGATTACATTTACTATTATATTAAGAATAATAATAATTCGGATAGATAAATCGTTAATTATTATTATATATAATATAATTGCCCGTAGTTAAGTTCTAGTCTATAATCGGTCGAATAATATAACAAATTAGGCAAATAAAACGGTCATCGCTATTATAGAATCGATAGGAGCCTATAGTAGGGTTATAGTCGGCGATAGGAAGTATAAAATAACAACAATAGTATATAAATCGAACAGAATCCGGCTCACTAGCGCCCGATTCCAAATCAGGATATTATTAGGCAATTAATATAACCAATAAGGGAGTAGGTATAATATTTTATTCTCGATTACACTTCCTAAGGCAATAATTACATTAAATCCAATCTCTCTCCAAACGGGCTTAAACAATCTCTTCGTTATCCTATTAAAGAAGGAGGGTATTAATAAATAATAAAGTAATTTAAGAACGGAAGACATACCTATAAATACAACCCACCTATTTTATATTAGATATCCTACTTAGTAAAACTAACTTTAAACTTAATAAATTAATATTAAAGAATATATATCTTAAAGCGTAAAGTACTAGTAGTAGTAAACTAAGTATCAACTTATAAAAGCTACAAAGACTAAAACGAACGATTAATTGGCCGTTCCAAACTAACTCTCTAAACTAATTAGGGTTAAACTATCTATTAACATTAAAATTATTAGATTTATAGTAGGAGGGGTTAGGGAGACTATTATAATTAATATTATTTAACCTTAAACTCTTAACGCATAACTATATAAGGTCCGAATTCCCCTTATTACTATTACTACCGTTCGAAGTCCAACAACTCTTATATAGAAATATTAACATCCTCACTATCAAAACATTAACAGGGATTCAAACGTTAAAATACCGGGGGTTACTAAGGTTTAGGTTACTAGATTTACCAAAGGGGCAAATTCTCAAAGATTTATTACTGGGAGGTATTATTAAAATATTCTATAACCTCTAACAACGCAAATCTCCTATTACAAAATCGGGTATAGGTATCTTCCAATAATAATATCAAAGCGGCTTCGGGACCTCATTTATCGTCGGTAGAAGGATTAGGGACGGTAGGATTGCCGGAGGTATTAGGATTAATAGTATTAAAATTAGTAGCAAATCGCAAGCTTAATACTATTCAACATCGTTAAAATCGATTCTAAAAAGAGACAAAAGGTTAATTATTCAAAATACAGCCTATTACTAATAGCTAGCCAGCTAGTATTATTTAAATCGTACCCGCAACCCCCTACGGCTCGGATTATAATATTACCCACAAATAGGCATCCTATTCACCCGTAGGTAATAAAACAATACGGCATACTAGGATTCCATTAGTAGGAGTTATACATTTTAAAGGATTTACCGTTAAATGAATAATACTAATTAACTAATAGGCCAATAGAAAGGGAAATAATAGATTGGGTAATAATAATAATAAAGGGGAAAAATAACTTACTAAAATACATTTATTATAGCAAACGTTATAAGTAACCGTAAGGAAGTTTAGATTATTCTTACCAAAAAAATACTAATATTAGCTTCTTTTTACTACAACTGTAATATTAGCGAATTTAACTCTACTCTTAATTACCGGGAGGCGGCACTTAATTAGGATTAAACTCCATCTTAAATAAATATTAGATTAATTAACTAAATAACTAAATAACTAAATAACTAAATTATTTAATAGGATAATTAATTGATTAAATAATAGATTAATTAAATAATTAAAAGACAAATTAATTAAATAATTGAATAATTAAATAACTAAAGGATTAATAGAAATCGTTAATCTTATCACTCTAGTCCTAATTATTCTCGTAATT